AATTTTGGTTCCGAAGGTTTAGTGGCAGCAATCTGGTTGCAGGAGTGAGAGTAGGGGGATCCTTTTAGAACAATGACAAAGTAAAGGTGACAGTTGAGAGTTCCGTGTTGGGAGCAGAGGCATAGAGACGTCCTTGGCCAGAGGTCAGCAAACTAGAGCTTAAGGACCAAATCCACCTCACTGCCTTTTGGCATGGCCCATGAACTGAGAGTAAGTAGTATTTACATTTTTTAATGATTGAAAAAGAGAATAATACTGTGATACTGTGATGCATGAAAATTATGAGATTCAAATTTCAGTATCCGTAAAGTTTCACTGGAACACCCACTCATGTATGTACTGTCTATGGATGCTTTAGCGCTACTAGAGTAGTTGCAACAGACACCGAATGTCTTCAAAGCCTAGAATATTCACTCTCTGGCTCTTTACAGGAAGTGCTTGCAGACCCCGGGCCTGGCCATCTAACCCAGAGGGGGAAGGACACATGCTGCCAGCCAACCACAAGGTGTCAGCCTTTCACCACCAAGCTTCCAGCCACACAGGCTCCTCTTAGGAGCTTCTCCACTGAGGCAGGACATGAGTGCCTCCTTGGCTGGGAGACAGCCAGGCAGTTATCCCCGGAGCATGAGGCTAGATGACAGGTCAGGGGGCCTGGAGTCTACTCGAAGAAGAGTGCAGGACTGGCTGTGGAAGCCCCGAGGCTTCGTGTAGGGTCAGCAGTCTCCTCTGGACCTGTTTCGTTTCTTTGGTTTAGGTTTTATTTGTAATTTATACACACAGGATTCTCCAAACAAACTAAAATTGTTTATTTCACCCAAAATGATTAGTCAGGAAGAGTTGTGAGACTTTTACACAACCAGATAAGACCGTGGCCCTCTTTCTGAGGTGGGGACGGACGGACCTGTGCAAGAGGAACACAGGTCCCTGCCAAGCAAGGTGGCTCACAAGTGGCATCTCTGGCCTTGAAACTTTCTCCAAGGGAACAAGCATGTGGTGCTGTGTGCCAACTACTCAACATGAAAGTGGCAAATACACAGGGGATGGGGGGAGCAAGGGAGAGAATCCAGGAGAGAATGTCCCAAGAGGGAAGTAAGAAGCCGCTGGATGGAGCACAGCCCCAGAAGTTCCTCCCAGGTGCCAGCCCTGCGTTGGGTGCTCACATGCTCCCTCCCTCGGCAAGAGGAGAGCAGTTCTGACATCATCCCCATTTGACACACAAGGAAACTAATCATCAGGACATGAAGTCGCTTGTCCAGTCGTTCAGTGGCAGAGCCGGGATTCCAGCCTGTGCCTGCCTGCTCTGAAGCCTGTCCTCTGTCCACCACACTCCCCCACCGAGGTCACAGCAAGTGGCGTGCAGCCATGACGCCTTAAGACCATAAGATCTGCCAGCGCCTTCCTTGCAAACCACGTAGCCCCAGGTCTGGTGCCCACAAATATCCCCTGAATGAACAAATGAATGCTCCCTGCCAAATGCTGCAGTGAGCTGCCTTTCCCCGTCCAGTCACCTAACTTCCAAGACACTTCCTGGAAGGGACGAGTTAGGGAGTCAAAGCTACAAGCAGGAAGTAAGAATCACGGTTCTTTGCACAGGGCCCGTGGCACTGCCGGTTGACTGCTTGTTCCTGCCTTTTGCTCCTTTTCTCCACCAGGCTCCCACGCACTTGCTGGCATCATGGCAGGTCCTAGCCTGTCTCCTTCTATGATGTGGACATCTGTTCCTGAAGCTGCTTTTAGGTGGCTGCAGGCAGTGCCCTAACTTCTAGTCTCTTTTCTGGATGAACACTTGTTTCCAGCTGGCTGTCACTTGGAGAGGCCATGCAGGGCAGTGAAAGTGCTCAAGGAGGGTCTAAGATAACCAGGTTCTAGCCCTTCTCATGACTCCTTGGGTGACTTTGGATAAATTCCCACACCTTGAAGGCCCCTGCCTCCTTTTATTTCCCCGTTAACCTTTTGAAAGGAAGCATGCTGGGAGAGAGGGTCATCCCTGAGTAGCCTGAGGCTTGGGGACTGGGTTCCACCCAGTCTGGAGGGCCTGAGAGATGAAGACCATCCACTCAGGACACACAGTGAAAGGAGAAGCCTTCCTAGAGGAAAGAGTTAGATCAGGAGGGAGTTTTGATAAACCTAGTCCTCAGGAAATTAAATAGCGCACTCCTATTTGGCTTGCATGTAAACTATCAGGAGTCAAGAAGACAGAAAGGGTCAGGATCACTTCCGGAACCTCTGACACCTTATTATCCCAGCTTATTCTCTGTATTGAGTGGCTGTCAAATTTTCAACCACTTAACAAATGGGTATCAGGCACATACTGTGGTTACAACAGTGAGCCTCACAGGCAAGGCCCCCGCGCTCAGAGCCTGGTGTTCAGGCTCAGGAAGCCCAAGGACAGATGGGGACCTACCGTGCCAGGCAGCAGCCCCTGGCACCTGGAAGCCAGCCTTCCGTAGTCCGGGGCTAGGAGGGCAGAAGCTTCAAGGGGAGGGGTGAGAAGTTCGGGCTGCCTAACTTTGTTAGGCTTTGGGGCTAATCTCACAATTACTTAGCTCAAGAACACTCTGTCTGTGCCTGCCACTTCCTGCCCTTCTCTTTGCCCAACCTTAGTCTGGCTCAACTCACTGTGCCCAGGTTGCCTGTTCTGCGACAAGCCTCCCGCCACTGGAACAGCAGTGCTGATGATCAGTGACAGCCACTGGGGCCTTTGGGCAGGAGGTATATGAGTGTGGCACACTGCCAGATGATAAACTATATCCACAGCACATGGCAGGGCTAATTAGCTGCTAAGGGGTCTTTGTTGACATTCACTCAGAATGTGGTCATGACAGTCAGGTAGCAATCCCCTTGGCTCGAGTATGGAATGTTCTCTGCTGTCAGCCCTGGCTGCTTTTGGAGGTGGGGCCACTGCTGGGCACACACAGGCATGTCCAATGGAGCTCTCCATGCAGGGCGTAGCTGAGACTGAAGGGCGGGGAGCAGACTGGGAGGAAACTGACAGGGAGCTGAGCAGAGGAAGGCAGATGCGTGCACATAAACACACCTGTTCTGGGGAACACAAGGCAGTAACTAGAACAGAGAGGGAAGATGCTTTCACGTCTGTCCCACAAAGCAACGTCTCAGGCAAGTCAGCCAACCTTGGCCAAAGCACTGTGTCCAACACGCCCTGGGCAGGGTGTACAGGAGCACTTCAGAGCAGCAGGCAATGCAGGCCCCAGAGCGGAGGCAGCGAGCTCAGCTAGGGGTGCATCTACCCCAAGGGAACATTTGGTAACATCTAGAGACATTTTGGTTGTCTCACCTGGAGGGGTACTACTGGCATTTAGTAGGTAGAGGCCAGGGATGTTGCTAAACACCCTACGATGCACAGGACAGCCTTTTCCCCGAGGGGATTTTGCGGCCCCAAAGTGTCAGCAGTGCGAAAAACCCTGAGCTCAAGGAGCAGGCTCAGATCTGCATTCTGTGGGATGTGAGATTTAGAGAGCGCCTATACCCTCTCATCTGAAAAATGGGGAAAATACAACCTGACTGCTCCCCACCAACTTCACGACGCTCACTCCCCAAACACACAGGGAAACTGTTAACTTCGTGGAGGGCTCTTTCCTGAGCTTTTCTTAGCTTGAAACCTGCATGTGACTAAAACATCTAGCACAATGAATGGCATTTAGTAGGTACTCAATAGATGAAAAAGAGAAATGTAACACAGTAGTTTAAAAAAAAAAAAAGAGCCCACTTCCCCTTTCTGGTCAGCTTCTTTCATATGTCTAGGCCTCATTTTTTCATCTAACCTTTCTATAAAGTTCTATATAGGCACAGGGAATGCTGTTAGCACAGGCTGTCTTAAAAGCATATCCCAGGGATAGCTGACAAAGGAGATAGAAAGTGTGGAATCTCAAGGGACAGTTCCTCAGCCCCATGCAGGAGTCCTGTGCTTCCTGCCCTTCTGGGGCAGAAGCCAGGGCAGCCATCCCAGGGGCTCCCTGGGAAGTTGGCCTTGCCAAACAGCTGCACCAGTTGGTAACACTCACCCTCCGGACACGGGACTCAGCAAGTGAGACAGCAGCCCGGGGAAGGGAGAGCAATGCCAGCCCCCAGCCCCGAGGTGCTGCTCCATCCATCCCGCTCCCCCCAAAGTCCTAACAGCATTGCCAGCCTTGTGGAAGCTGCTGTGTGGGGACCAAGGGCATGATCCACCCTTGAACTTGCCATCCAACTGGGAAGGCCAGATGTACCCTTGAGATTTGATGAGTAAGAGGATTTCACCACGTATGTGCAAGTGCTGGAACAGAGGGCAGATGTACTCAAAGCTGAGAAGCCAAGAGGCAGAACAGAGTGGGCCGGTGCTTAGGCAGACAAGCAAACATTACGAGCTGCATTTTACGACTTCAAGATCCTCAGCAATCTGTGGACTAGTCTCTTTCCCAAGCATTTCGGAGCTAGAGGGGGCCAGGGACTATCTTGCCCAAACTCTGTAAGGATGAGGACGCTGAGGCTGTGGGGGGAGGTGCCCTGCCTGGGCAGTCCTGTTCCGCAGGCCGGCACTCTGCCCACTAAACTCACTTGCTTCCTCTTCAGCATATGGTCTCCCCTTCGTTTCTACCAAGAAAGTGAGAAAAAGCCCATCTTGGCACATGGAGAAACTAAGGCAGAAAGGAAGGCCTGCTCAAGTCTGCAGTGATTTGGAACTTCCAATTGGCAATCTCCCTAGATTAGCTATCAGGGCAAGGGAAGGACCCGGGCCTGCTTCTCTCAAGGGAGAGGAACAAGCAGCCCTAGGCGGACTTGCTTGGAAGTTGGTCCCTTCCCTAGGCCTCCTCCCTTGTCCTTGGAGGTGTCCACCCTCCATATGGAGGGCGATGTCTTTCCCCCACTGTAATTTACACATCTCATGTCCATGCCTTCAAGGTGACCACTTGGAGCTGAGGTGTGACACCCCCACATCCCCATGTTACCCCTCCCCCTTCCCTCCCCTCCAGAACAAGCTCATGACACACTGCCAGGTCTCGGTGGGTAAGGAAACACTTCCCAGAAGTGTTTAATCCTCACAAAAGCTCAGAGAGGTAGGTCAGGGTCCCTTCCCCACACCTGGATGCTCACCTCAGGACAAGCGGGGGTGCCTGGCTCAGGCTCCTCCTTCCTCTCCCCTCCCCACTGCCTCAGCCCTGGCTGCCCCCACTTCCTGCTTTCTCTCACAGCAGCCCCTCCATCCTTTTCTTGCCTGTCACATGGGTGGCCCTGCAGATGTTGGTGCCCCTCCCCCAGGTGCTGGTGGTGTCCCAGGGATTTTCAGAAGAAAATAAAGAGGACAAGAGTTTAGTTCAGAGGTCAGAGGCCAAGGCCCTTTCACGGGAGCTTCAGCCCTTTGCTTCCCGAGGCTCTGACCTGTCCTCACCCTGCCCACAGCCCCCCCCCCCAGTCTGCAGCTGGCGGTTTCTCTCCTCAGCCCGCTCCAGTCACGGGGTAGGCGGCAGTGTGGGAGCGTCTACTTGTCGGCCTGGGGAGGCCACGGCTCCTAAACATGGCTGACTTTTCACAGGAGCTAAAGCTAGTCTGTGGCTGAGATGTAACGGGGGATACCCTGGCTGGTGAAGGGGACTGAGGACCATCTGAGGGGTGGGGGGGGAAAGGGCAACTGCCCTTGTCCCACAATCCCCCTTGGCCAAGCCCTCCGCTGCGTTGGGCTGCAAACCAAGACACGCTGAGGGAGGTGGTCCAGGTAAAGGCACTACGGGAGCCCACACGGGCTTGCAGCAGGCAAAGCCAAGAGGCCTGGGCTGCTCAGGCCGAGACTGCGAGGATGGCGCAGAGGGAAAGGAGACTTCAGTAGGAAGGCTCTCAGAACAGCAGTGTCAAATTCTGCCACTGGCAGCAGGAGGCTGAGGCCTAGTCCCCTCGTTCCATTCAGAGTCTAGTACAGGAGCCTGCAGGGACTGGGCCACAAAGGCCACAGCAACCAGTGCCCCCCGCTGTCCCAGCTGCCTCTTAGTTCAGAGGCTAGAGCAAGGATGGGACTCTGGCACCTGGCTCAGAGCCCTGTCCTCTTTCCTTTTATTTCACCAGTCTCTTGGGGGACCAGAAGCACCAGGAAGCTCAAGTAAGGAGAAGCCAGGGTGCTGGGGTTGCCCTCGAGACCCCCTCCTGATGAGGCACAGAGACATTCCCTCGCCCCATACGGGGACCTGTGGGACGAGGTTAGCCCAGTGGAGGGAGGGTCGGGCATAAAGGAGAACGGACACCAGGCAGGCTTCCGCGTCATGTAAACAAGGCAGCAGTGACCCTGCCCAGCCAGTGGCAGTCCGGTGTGATTATCTTGAGATGCTTCAGACCCTCCCATCTGGGATTCAGGGTCCCTGAGGCCAGGGTGGAGGCTGCAGGGCAGGAGGTCAGTGGAGTCTGATGTGCAAACTGGTACAGGGTGTGCGCTGTGCTCTAGACAGCCCAGGACAGGACAGGTAGGCATCCACAGGTCTTGCCCACCACCGTCCTGCGGCTCAGGAAATCACGCAGTTGCTGGGCTTGGCACCAGGACTTGTTTTACCTGTGGAGGCAAGGGACACCGGTGAAGAAGGAGGTGAGTGAAGCGCTGAGTGGATCTGCCTCCGGCCCCACCCTGTGCACCATCCATACCTCAGATTTGGGGGCTGGGGTTACTGTCTCCCTCCCAAGCTGCTGGTCTGGCAGCCGGGTCAACAGGGCATCCAGGAAAGCAAAAGGAAAGACCTCGCCGTGCTGGAAGCCTCAGCTGGACCCCACTGGTTGGGACGAAAAGGGGTCTGCCTTCCCCTAACCAGAGGGGTGAGGCTGGGGGAGGATCCAGACTCCAGAATCAATGACAATCGGCGACTTAGTCTTGCCAAGAGGCCCTTCACTGGCAGCCAGTGTCACAGGCAGCATCACAGCTCACAAAGCGCAACCACAGTCCTCTCCCGTGCTCTGCACGGTGGCCATGCCCTGAGCCAGGTGCCATTTGCCCTTTTCCACACCCAGAGCGGTGGGGCCCGCAGCCCCCAGAGCCAGTGAGCGACAGTGCCAGAGCCGGTCTCCCCAACCCAGTTCCAGCTCCTTCTGTTCCAGCCCCTACGCTGGAAGAAGACAAGCCTGCGCCCCGGGAAGGGTGGGTGGCGCTGACCAGGAAGAGCCAGGCCCCAAGGGGGTGGGGGGAACCGCACAGCATAGGGGACGGTTTCAAGGGAGAGAGTGGAGAGGAGCACACTGCACGGAAAGGAGGGGCGGGGAGAGAGCTGCTCTCTTCCAGGCCTCCATTCCCACTTCCTGTATGACCCCAAAGTGAGGCCTTGACCCGACACCTCCCGCCCTGCCAGTTGGCTTGGCGTCCTCGACTGCCGCCTGCCTTCGCTGGGTGGGAGCCGCGCGGCGTGCTATTTCCCGCCAGTCGCCTCCGCACGGCAAGGCTGTCTCCCTGGCGCCTACACCACCTCCCACATGCCTTCAGGTGTGAGTTGAGTTAAGGTGTGGCGTGGGCCTCCTCTCCTGGGCTAAGAGCAAGAGAGACACGAACAGAGCCGGACCTGGAGCCAGGGTCCCGGCAGCACCTGGCCCGCTACGCCCCACTCGCGCCCTCGCTGGCGCTCAGTCCCCATGGCCTGGTCTGGGCCGGACTGATAACTCCTCAGGACAAGCCCAGCCCAGCCCTCGCTAGCGGTGCTGCCCCAGACCCGGGCAGGAGGCTGCCCAGGAGGCGGGAGGGGAGATGGATGACTGTGCCCTGAGGGCTTGGGGGACCCAGGATCTGGGGTTCGCCTTCCACAGTGCTGCTGAGGCCCTTTCCGGTGTGGCTCTGCTGACGTGACTAAATTCTGCCGTCCCAGAGCCCCCTCCCTGCTGCAGTGCTCACCTCTGTCCCTGTTTCCTCTCCTCGGGGGCCTGTTTTACTTGCTCGGCCTACTAAGCAGATGTCTGGTTCCTCCCCAGAGGCAGCGGCGTTTTGGAGCAGGTAAGCAAATCAGTCCCTGGATCTCAGCGCAGGAGGAGAAGCCGGGAAGCAGCACGGCTCTGGGGGGCGGAGGAGCCTACTTCCAAGGCCTGCACTGTGCTCGCCCCCTCCCTGGAGAGGCCTGGGTAGAGCCTGTCCTCACCAGGACGTGCTGCCGCTATTTTACAGGGCTAGATGAAAGCCGGGAGAGAGAACCTACACTCAGAATTCATCCCCATGCCTCTGACAGAGAACGTGGTTTGAGGAAAAATTCTTTGTGCTCCAACATTCCTTCAGTGCTCATGTACTGGGAGACTACCATGTGCAGGCGAATCAGGCCTGCTAAGATCAATGGGGAAAAAAACGTTAATAGCAAAAAAAAAAAAATTTTTTTTTTACAGAGTATGTGTGGCACATGGTGGTCTGAAGAAGGCTAATGAAGGAGTCAAGCTTCAAAGTGGAGTGACCAGCCTGGGCAATATTGAGACCCTGTCTCTATGAAAAAAATAACCCAATGTGGTGGTGTACGCCTGTAGTCCCAGCTCCTCAGGAGGCTGGGGTGGGAGGATCTCGTGAGCCCAGGAGTTCAAGCCTGCAGTGAGTTACGATTCCACTAGCCTGGACAATGAAGTGAGACCCTGTCTCTAAAAACAAAAACCAAAGGGGGATAACTGGAACAACTGGAGGTGAGGCTGAAAACAGAGACACCAGTGGGAGGAGGGGGCCATGCAATGTAGTGGAGCAGCATGACGTAGGTGCCAGGCTGGAGGGGACAGCTTGGGGCACCCGGGACCTGCAGTTAGTCTGGTTTACTGGCCAGCAAAGTGGTACAGCCGAGAGGGGGGCAGGGGACACCCACACAGAAGGCCATGACCAGGACAATGGGTTCCATTTTCCCATAGGTTTTAGGGCTTCACATTCCCTTCATCTGGAAGATTCTCCCCTGATGTCCACATGGCACTGTCCCTCCATTCCAGTCTCTGCTGCAGTGCCCCTATGCCAGAGAGGCCTTCCTCGAGCGCCCTCCAGAAAACAGCCACTCCCTGCCTCTCCCCAGTGTAACATGCTCCACGGAGCAGGGACTTGTCCATTCTGTTCCTGCTGTACCAGGAACTTAGAACAGTGCCCAGCACAGAGCAGACACTGCACAAGTGTGTATTTGTTGAACAAAACGAATGAGTGGGCAATGGCAAAGTACTCAAGGGTTTGGAGCACTACCAATAACAACAGTACCAACGGCAGCAACGGCAGATGTGGGTCGGGTGACACACACACCCTCACTCACCCAGGACTCCCTGGGGTGGCGATGTGTGCCCTGGCCAGGCCCAAGAGAAACTAGAAGGACAGAGGGATTATGACGCCTGCCAGTAAGAATGAGCACAGCTGCCTCTTTCCTAGAGCTCGGTGGGACTGGTCCCTCAGAAGACACTCACTCTGCTCCCCTCGCCCACACTGTGAGCAGAACCCCCCGCCCCCTGCGGGGAAGGGTACTGGGTTCATCAGATCAGACTGCAGTCTCCAAACACCAGCTGGGGCCTGGCCCCTGCTTCTCAGGGCTGCACTGCATTTTGAAACCCTGCCTTGACAAGACAGCACCGAGCAGGCTGACCCTAGACCTGGAGTGTCCTTACGACACTCTGAAGCCAGGAAGCACTCCCCCAACATTCTATTCCTGACTGGGACCCAGATTTCCAGGAGAGAGATCTGAGTCCCCCAGCCCCCAGCGATGACACAGGAGAGCCTGAAGTCCCCAAATCGAGGAGCCCAGTGGTCACAGCTCTACAGAACATGCTAGAACATGCTGCCAGCCAGGGTAGCCCATCCACACATGAATGAGGGGAAGCCAGGAGAGTTCTGGAAAGGCACTGTGACCGCAGGTCACCTCACAGAACCATGGCCCAGGGGCTCTGGGTAAGGTAATGACCGAGAGGCACTCTGGAAGTTACTCCTCTCCTCTGCTTCTCAGCTGGAGAAGGGCCAGTGGCCCTTCCCAAAGTCTTTAAGGACGTAGGGAAATGGTGGCAATCCTAGCCTTCTGGAGACGGCCATGATGCTCTGCAGAAGGCCCTGGAGGCAGGAGACCACACTGCCCTGTCCTCACTGTGTGGCCATGGACACAGGGGTGTGCCTCTCCGTACCTCAGGGGTCTCGTGTGTGAGACGCTGTTATCGGGCAGGACGGCTGGGAGGACAACAGCACACAGTGAGGGCATCTCCCCGAGGGGACCGCGTGGGGTCTCAGGCACAGCGCCTGGGACCTCCTCCCCCGCCTGGTGTCACCTTGGGAGCAGGGTCTTGTCTGAGTGTCCTTCGCATCACCACAAAGTCTCTGGCCTGAGGACCCCTACATTGGAGAACTACACTGGAACGTCGGAGCCCGCGTCTAAGGTAAGGTAAGGACTGTATTCGTGGCCTTTTTAACGAAGCTCTCCACCGACTGCTGCTCCCAGGGGGTTGGGATCTCTGCCGCACAGAGCTGGGGCAGAGCTCCAGAGGGGCGCAGAGGCCAGCCCCGGGAAAGGCCGAGCGCAGGTGCGGAAAGGAGCAAGGCCCGGCTGAGGCGAGGCGCCCGGCTTCGGCCGCTAGAGGGGGCCGCGAGCCTGCAGACCACTGGGCAGCCCCCGCCCCGCTGCCTCCACGGCCCCACAGGTTCTCCCGAGGGCCACACCTGGGGCTGCAAAAATCTGCATGCCGTTTGACAACTCTATACTTCTTATCAAGCAATTTTACAGGCTGTCAGTTCTTAGCTTTTCCTATTTTTCTCTGCGATGACAGAATCTGTCACCAACCCAGGTTCTCCCTTGACAAGAGGGCAGCAGAGACAGAAAGAAGACTGGGAATCTGAACTCCAGGGGACCCCGGAAACCTCCTGGCTCACCCCTCCACTGGGAGATGAGGGGCGGCCCTGCGGGGAGGGGGCAGCATGTGCCCCGAAGCGGGCGGTGGTGGCTGTGCTGGGGGAAGGGGAGCCCCACTCTGTTGGGCGCCACCCCCTCACATGCCCGGTCCTAGCTGCTGAGCCGCTGTCACAGGAGGGGAGGCACTAAAACAGCCGCTCAGGCCAAGGTCGGGGGGCTGAAGGCCAGCAGCCCACCGCTGCCCCTGCCTTTGGGTGGGAGGAGAAGCAGGGAGACGAAAGGTCTCGCCAGAGAGCGTGGATTTCAGGGCCCAGGGTATGAGATGCCCAGCCAGGCGGGCAGGGGCTGGGCGGGAGGGGGCTGCTCTGTGTTTCTCCTGAAGGGTGGAGAGGGGGAGGGGATGGCTCCGGGCATCTGCCGCTCTGCGAGGAGCTTCCCAGGGGCACAGCCAGGGTCTGCCTGGCCTGCTGGGGCACTGTGTGCAAACACTAGAGAGCAGCAGCAGCAGCCACCGCAGGAGTCGTCCACGCAGGGGACCCCGCTGAAGGCAGAAGGAAGGGACAAGACAATGGGCCTTGCGTTTCCATGGAAACAACACCTTGGGGTGAGGGGCTGAAGGAAGGGAAAGCTCCCACTCCACTTCCAGTCAGGACCTGGGAAGCAGTCCTTGTTGCAGGCCTGCCCCTCCCCCCTTTCCTGCCAGGTGTTCGCCATGGCAACCCTCCTCCACACCAGAGGTGCAGAGCAGTAGCAGCATCTGGTGCTGGGGGGCCAGGCAGCCCAGAAAGAATGGGGACACGCCAGCCACCCTTCTGCTGACAAGAAATGGCCCCAGGCCCAGGCCTGGGTTTGAATCCTGTCTCTACTACCACTTCCTGTGCCCTGGGACCATTTAATTCACCTCTCTGAGCTTCCACCTGCCACTGCTGTGCTTCCGCCTGCTACTGCTGTGCTTGAAGGTTGCTGTGAGGGTGGAGGGCAAGAGAGCACCTACGCAGGACCCAGCAGGTGGAGGTCTTAGCCGGTGTTTCCAGGCCAAGTGGAGGTAAAGCCCTGGCGCCCCTGCTGTGCCCACAGTCACAGAGATGCCCAAGCCTGTTCTAACTCTAAAGAGCAAATTTATCTGACACCTCCTGAGCACAGACTGAGTGTGTCAGGGTCTGTAGCAGGTGCTGGGGAACCAGCAGAGGGGAAGACGGCTGTGGTCCCTGCTCTGAAGCTACTTGACATCGGGTCAAAGCTGGGGCTTCTGGGAACATGTGGGCCCCAGGAGCCCTCAGGCTGCGCAGGACGAGACCTCAGTCCCAGCCATCACCTACATCGCCAGCCAGGGAGCCTAGTTCTCACTGCTGCAAAGCCCCACAGCCACAGAGGGAGCAATCCACCACAGAAACCCCTCCGACTCAGGGGTGCCAAGATGAGAAAGGCACCACCACAGCCCTGGTTGTCACCACCAGCCTCCTGAAAGGCCACACAGAGACTGCTCCAGAGAAAAAGATAAAGACCAAGGCTCCTGGGGATCACAGAGAGACAGGCTTTCTAGAATGATCTCTCCCAGAGGGTGAGCAGCAGGGCAAATACCACTCATCAGATAGACACATGGATAAAACAAACCATTTACAACAGAGACAGGAAAGTGGGTCAGGGCACTGGTAGGCCACAGGTGAGGGTGGGGTGTGTTTAACCAGGTGAGATCCTGACAACAGGAGATCCGGCAGGGAATGAGGTTTGTAGAAACAGCCCTAGACTGCAAGACAGGGGTGGAGCCTTAGCCCTGCCACCAGCTGTGCTGAGCCTCCATTTCTTCATTTATAAAGGAGAATCTTTCCAAGCTTACTTTATTTACTAGAGTTATCCTGAGTGTCCGATCTGAATATCCTCTAGGAGTAGTAATGAAAGCTCTCAGACTACTCCATGGCCAGCATTATACAGGGCACTTTATAGCCACAGAACAGCTGGGCAAGGCAGGCATCATTCTCCTCTTTCAGAGAAGAGGAAACAAACTCAGAACTGCAGTGACTGGCCCAAGGCCAGAAGGCAGACACAGGCCAGAGCCAGAATGGGAAGCAAGGCCCTCTGACCCCAGAGCTCCTGCTCTCCCTGTGCTGGCAGGTGGCCGGCTGCCCCTCTGCAGACACGAGGCCCTGCCCCTTGATGGGGCCAGATGCAGGGCTAGAGGCCTGGGGAGGCACTGGCCCCGAGGGAAGAGGGCTCACCTGGGACAATGGTGCTGGAAACCTCATTGGGCCTCCTTGGCATCACAATCTCCACTTCGGCAGAGGTCTCGGTGGAGAGGGAGCTGGCCACGCCATTGGGCGCTGCAGGCCTCTTGGCCCGTCGACTGTTGAAGAGCCTGCTGCCAAAGCGCTTGCCCTCCTTGGCTGGGGCAGCCTCCCTGTTGGCAGCTTCTCCCGTGCCATTTCGGTTAAGTGGCTCTCGGGATTTGGGCTTCAGGTCTGTGTGCGTGTGAGAGACCATCCTGCCATCCTTCCGGCTCAGCTCTCCTGAGGGAAAGGGCTCCACGGGGGGCAGCACCTGCTCCAGGGTAGCCAGGTCATTCAGGAAGCTCTCCAGGCGCCGAGCTGACTCGCCACCTCCGCCACCCTCCTCCTGCCCATCTGTGTGGCCGCCAGCCTCCTGCCGTTGCCGGGCGGCCCAGCGCATCATCTCTCCCGGCGGGTGGCGGCTGCCTGACACCAAGGCGTACTTGGGGTTGATAAGCTTGCGAGCCACAGTGGACGAGTAGTGGCTAAGCCTGCCTGCCAGGCCCAGCTGCCGGTACAGGTCCACCTCCTCGGAGATGGCGTACAGCTCCCGGAACTCTACGTCGAAGGGCTCCACGTTCTGCCCTGTCAGGAGGAGGAGAAGGTTCCTGTCCACGTAGGAGGAGCTCCATGTAAACCTGGGAGCATGGGGACAGAAAAACAGGACACGTGTGCCCGAGCCTCTCTTGCCCTGCTAGTAGCCACCTCACACCCGCTTGCCCCACCCCAGCTTCATGTTGTGCTGTCGCCAGACCCCTTGCTGCCCAGTGGAAGGTGCATCTGGGCCTCCACGCTGGACTGTTCTCTCTCCACTGACCCAAACCCTTCCTTTCCTTTCTCCAGATCTTGGCCTCAGATGCAGAGAACGAGCAGCAGGGGCAGGGAAAGGTTGAGACATCAGGCCTGGACTCACACCAGCTTACACCCTGGCGCGCCTTATAAAGCAGAGCTCACAGGACACTGCTCAGAGTTGTTGGGTGGCTCACATGAAATAACTTACATAAAACATTTAGGCACAAACACACATTTAATAAAAAGTAACTGCTCCTGCCACTGTTATTAATATCATCCCATTCTTTATTGGTCCTTCTCTGAATTTTTAGAGCACTTGAGTGTGTGCAAAAATCCATCCTTTAAAGAAAAAAACAAAAACAAAACTCATCCTTTAACCACATAAGAGAACTTACGCCATTTATTACTTGTTTCAGGTGCTTGGGTATCTCTTCTCCTCACCTAGATTTGAATTTACTTGAAGGGCAGAGACTGCACACACGCAGTCTCTCATGTTCCTGGTAATTCACTTTCAAATCAAAATTCTTGAGACATTCCTGCCACACCGCACCCTCACATTTCTTTCCCAGGTCTGGTCCATTCTACTTCCTGCTTGTCCCACCCACCAACAAGCTTCAAAATGCAACTGGTTGCAACTGGACCATGAAAGGCAGGCAAGTGCTTAATGCCCAGGAAGAGTTGACTCTCTTTCTAAAATAACTCATCAACCAGAAAGTTTGAGGGAAGGGATTAGGCAGGAGGCTGTTTTTTGCCATTCAATCAGAGAGTACTTCTTAAAACTCATGACTATAGAGGCCCCAGTCTAGCACTTTTCTGAATGGTTACCAAGAATAAGGCCTCCTGGGCCCTTCTCTGACCTGGCCCAACTCACCTGTAAGATCCAGTGACTACTTTGTCACCATCCACCATCAGGAACCTTGATGACAGGGTCCCCTTGATCTTCCCCATGGGCATGTAGAAGCCGATGCCTGTCACGGAGCGGACACGGATGTTCTGTTGAGAAGAGGAGAAGGGCCCCGACACCCAGTTTGGGTGGGCCTAGGAGGCTCTGCGCCAAGTCTTTGCCTCGGCCGGGGAAGAGCCAGCCAGCTTGTCCACGGACCACCTGCTGGCTCCTGCTGCCTTTACGAGAGTCTCTGCTTCCTACAGCCTTACACATGAACCCCTCTTTGGAGAGCAGGAGGAAGTCCCCAAGTCTCGCTTTGGGCATGAACAAGCCCAGAATGGATCCTACCCATTCCCATAGCTGACCAGGAGAGAACCACTGCCCTCACTTTGAATCTGACAGTGAGCCAGTGATTCTGCAGGCTGAGCACCCCAGGACTGGGCCAGAGCTGCCTTCTACAGCCTCAGCAGCCTTGGGATAACATTTAAGCTGGGCATGCAATTTAGTGGTTATCAGTTCATGAGTCAAGGCTTTAGACAGAAGGGAAGGAGTTGCGATCTTGAAGTTCACCTGAGTGTCTGAACTGGGGAAGAGACAGAAACGGAGCCAGAGGAAGGGGCAGAGGGCATCTCTGACTCCTCCCTGCCCACCCTCCTACACCCCCGCTCCAGTGGCACAACTCACCCGAATACGGAAGTCAGCTAGTTGCAGGCCCTGGCACATCTCCAGGAAATACTTCACTCCTGCCTCGTCCAGGATGATGTACACGGGGACGCAGCGCTTAGAGGCGGCATCCACAATGTCTTGGAAGATATCACCGTCAGTGAAGAGGTCCATGACCACAGCAATAACCTGGACAGGGAAGGGCACTGGTGAGACACACTGTGACTAAACACCTACAGACACACACCGCACCACAAAGGACCGGCGCACCCTGGGATAACAGCAGCAAGGAGTCAAAAACTCCATCACTCCTGGGTCTCCATGCCCCCACCCACCTCTGAGCAGATCTGAGCCCAGGAGATGGGCCTGGGGGTGCAGGCCATGTAGCTTGCACTTCGTCCGGGACAAATCCCCACCCCCCACCCTGGGGATTTTCCAGCAGCTCTTCAGAAGCCCTATCAGGGGAGATCTAGAAGGCTGAGTAAAGTTGCTCCTGGTGCCCTAGGGAAACAAACAAGGGTAAGGAGATGCCATCCGCTGAGATGCAAGGCATGGGCTCGTTTCCACAAGTTACAGATCTGCTCAGACATCACTTTCTCAGCAGGCCTGGGTGCTTTGATCTCCCTGCAGCTGTGCGAAGCCCTGTGCTTCCCCAAGCACAGATCTCGGCAGAGCTCCAGTCAGCTTGGATTCCCTGGCCTCCAGGTGTCCATCCCAACCCACCCTGTCCTCAAATCGAGGTCACTGCTCAGGACCCCTCATGTACAAAGGTCAGTCCTGATCACCCAACCTGGAAGGTGAGGCTTTTTGCAGCCTGGGACAGATCCACCTTTCTGACCATAGCTGCCTCCGATTTCCTACACACACCACCCTCTGCTCCAGCCACAAGGGCTTTCTCATCGGCCCCAAACATTGTGCACATGATACAGAGGAAAGGGCCTTGGCTTGGGGTCAGATCCGGGTTTAACCCTGGATCCACCACTTTCTATTTACGTGACCTTAGACAAGTCACTGAACTATAATGAACCCCTGTTTCCTCATCTGGAAAGTGGGGATACTGGGACTTTGCTGTGAGCGTTAGGGACAACATCTGTAACGCACCAAACACAATGCCTGGAGTGTGATAAGTCCTCAATAAATGGTGGCTGTTTGCATAGTTCAGGGAGCCTGCTTGCCGTGGAAACTGAAAGCGCAGACTCTGAAGCCCGGCAGACGGGCCTGGGATACCAGCCTCTATGGCTGGTCTGGGCTTCCTGGCAGCAAGATAGAGCCAACACCTGCACCTGTCTCAGAGGGTTGTTGTAAAGGACTTGGTGAGACGAATCGCGAAAGCACGGAATGCAGGAACTGCACGTGGTTAAGCTCGACGAGCCGAGTCACCATCACCAGCGCCACCTACAAATGTGCTCTGCCATTACCCTGCCTCTAAAGCCTCCCCGCCCCCACATTCATCAGGTAACAGGGAAAGCGCTTCACAGTTCTTACATTTTGAGAAAGAAAAAAACAACACCTTTTTATCTGAGGAATCCAAGATAAAATCCCTTTAAATTACTGGACCCAAAGATGCACTGATATGTGACAGGTCACTTCTACTCCCCCTTGAGCTAAGTAACCACCTCTTGAAGCCACTTGTTGTATAGATTCTAGCCTGAACAACACCAAGTAGCCATATAACGCTGTACAGTGAGAATTCCTGACCGACGACGTTGCCCCTCTCTCCTGATTGATCCTCTTTCCTTTAGAAACCTGAGCCTCTCCTCTGTTCCCCAGAGCACTCTCCAAGGCAACCTGGAAGTGTGTCCCAGGCTGCAGTCCTAAATCTCAGGCCAAATAAACTCTCCGTATTAATTTTGCCTCTGCTTCTTCCTCTTAGGCCAACATACTGACAGTCACCCACTCGAGCAGTGTGAATGACTGCTGACCCCAAGGCAGAGTGAGGATCTAAAAACAGATAAGCTACCATCGATAACGATAACCTCCAGGTGTAATGATAAGGTCTTTACACAAAATACCTGCACATCAGGTAAAGGAGTTAAGTGCCTTAGGAGTTGCACAAAGGACATGTGATGTGGGTTAGAGTTGGATGGGGGAGAGAGAGATCACTTGCAGTCAGGGGAGAACAAGAAAGACTTCACTAAGGAAGCCCAAGCTTAAAGAAGGAAGCTGGAAGGACGGGAAGCCTCTGGGCAGTGTGAGACATGGGCGGGCAGGAGACCCAGGCAGGGAAGCCGGCTCAACTCCAGAGAAGGAGTGTGCCCCGCACACGGGCACCCGGTGGGGGACCTGGTGGGAGCTTCGCCTGACCCAGGAAGGGTCACCTTTTTCTTACCTACACACAGATGCAACATGGCCTCGCCGACGAGAGGAACATTTCAGGCAAAGGGCACAGAACGAACTAAGGCACTGTAGTGGATAATTTTATGTATTAACTTGGCTGGGCCATGGCACCCACATATTTGGTCAACATTAATCTGGATGTTTCTGTGAAGGTGATTTTTGAATGACCAATCAGTGGACTGGTCAAGCAGATTAACCTACATAATGTGGGAGGGCTTTATACAATCAGTTGAAAGCCTTACCAGAACAAAGACCGACTTCCTGGAGCAAGTAAGAATTCTGTCGGAAGACTGCCTTTGAACTCGGTCTGCAACTGTTCCTTGGGTCTCCAGCCTGCTAGCCTGTCCTGGAGATTTGGGAGTTGACTCTCCACAGTCCCATAATTCCTTAGGCTTGATCAATCTGTCTGTCTGTCTGTCTGTCTGTCTGTCTGTCTGTCTCTCTCTCTCTCTCTCTCACACACACACACACACACCCCTCCCACTGGTTCTCTTTCCCTGGAGAACCCTGACTAATACAGATACCCGAAGATGGGAATTAACCTGTCCCAGATACGCTCAGTACCCCATGATGTTGCATGTGCTTTAGGTAATTTTCTAATCTGGTCCTCACAACTATGCTACAAGGCAGGGTTGTTATTCTCGCTTCCCAATCAAGGAAGTAAACACACAGAGGGGCAGAGTAACGTGTCCAAGGTTATAAAGCCGGCAAGCAGCAGAGCAAGGCGCTCAGATCAAACTGCCTCATAGAGAAGGGACCTCTGCGAGGTATTTTAGAAACACCGAATCCAAAACTGGTTCTTTAAAAAGACTAAACGAAATAGACAAAATTCTGGGAAGACTGACAAAATGAGAGAAGATGTAAATAAAATACTGAATGAAAAAGGAGAAATAACTACAGACATAATAGTTTTGTGGGTTTTTTTTTTTTTGAGACAGTCTCATTCTGTCACCGGGCTAGAATGCCATGGCATCTGCCTAGCTCACAGTAACCTCAAACTCCTGGGCTCAAGTGTTTCTCCTGCCTCAGCCTCCCAAGTAGCTGGGACTACAGGCACACACCACTATACCCAGTTAACTTTTTCTATTTTTGGTAGAGATGGGGGTCTCACTCTTGCTCAGGCTGGTCTAGAACTCCTGAGTTCAAGCAATCCTCCCACCTCAGCCTCCCAGAGTGCTAGGATTACAGGCATGAGCCACCACAGCCAGCCCATAATAGATATTTTTAAGAAATAGTAAAAATGGTAAAAAAAATATATTATATATTATACATTAGTGAATCTGAAAAGGCAAATGACAGGGCTAATACACTAGAAAGGCAAACTAAACATAATATGCCATAATCGAGTAAAGTTTACCCTAGGAATGAATGCAAAGATGATTCAACATCAGAAAATGTATCATTTTAATTTAAAACATTTATGGGGTCAAGGAGGAGAAAATCATGTATTATCTTAATCATTTAAAAAGTATTTAATAAAGCTAAATCCAGATTGGTGATTACAATTCTCATAAAACTAAAAACAGAAGGGATCTTCCTTAACTTGGTAAAATTTATCTACCAAAACCCACAGGAAACATTTTAGTTAACAGAGAAACTTGAGATGCATTCCCTTTAAGTCTCAAGAAAGTCAAAGATACTCACTATTGCTACTACTGTTCAGCATTGTATTGTCCTAACCAATGCAGTAAGACACCAAAAAGAAATAAGAGATACAGGATTAGAGGAGACAAAACTACCAGTATTTAGAAATGATATAATTTTCATAGATAATCCAGTAGAATCAAGAGAAAAGCCATTAGAATAAGAGAATTTGGCAAGATTGCCAGAAACAAGAAAAACTTACAAAAATCAATAGCCTTCTTATACTGCAGTAATAACCAACTTGAAAGAAAGAGAAAGAGAGAAAGACCCATTCACAATTGCAACCTAAGCACATAGTATCTAGGAATTAATATCTTGAGGGAGAAATTTTCAAAGCCCTATTAAAGGACATTTAAAAATACATGAATAAATGAAGAGATAAAACATGAAAAGATACTATGATTTACTATTTTAAAAATCCAATACTCCCCATACTAATGAAAGTCAAAGTAATCCCAATAAAAGTTCAGTAAATGTTTTTGAAAAATTCAAATGCTTCAAGGACATGAAGAATAAAGATCCACAAACATCAATTTTGAAAAAGGAAAAGCTAAAAGAGGACACTTGTCCAACAGAGAGTAATATATACTACAGAGCCATAGTAATAAGAATTGTAGTACTCAGGTAGGAAGTGAAAAATAGACCAGTGGAACAGAATGGTGAGACCAGAAACACACACACACACACACACACACACACACACACACACACACACACACTCTTTATGTATAACAGGGGTAGAATCACAATTCAGTGAAGAAAAAAACGCTGTTTGGCAGATGTTATTGGGAAAATTGGCTTACTATAATATACAGAGAAAACTAAAGGTGGATTCATCCCTACCTCACACCATACATAAAGGTGAATTTCAGGTAGGCTAAATACCTAAATGTGGAAGATAAAACTAATAAGAGAATTTGTGAAATGCAGAAAAATATCTTCATGACATAGGGTGAGAAAGGATTTAATGTTCCAAAAGCACAAACCATAATGCAAATAAAATAAAATTTAAAATTAGGAATTTTTCTGTTCATATAAAGAAGTCATAGACAGATGTAACCGATAGGTGACAGGAAGTACAGTGTCTACAACCAAAAAGAATATTACACATGGGATCCCCGCACACCAGCAAGAAAAAGACAGGAAACTAATTAGAAAAACGGGCGAAGGATATGAAGAGCCAACTCCCAGGAGGAGATACTTGAATG